CTATACACCAACACTTCTTCGACGAAAGAAATATGGAACGCATTGGAAAGTAAGTACAAAGCGGAAGAATAAGGTATAAAGAATTTTTTTTATTTCAAAGTACTTTGATTTTAAATTTTTGGATAATATCTCCCTTCTTCTCCAAGTACATGAATTGCAAGTGATTGTCAACAAACTAAAGATGGTAAAGATTGAGTCCCAGAGACCTTTCAAGTGGGGGGCTATAATTGCTAAACTCTCGGGGGTTTGGAAAGAATACCAGGAGAAGATCATGCATAATTCCGAATATTATTCTTTGGATTTGTAAAAACATCTTCAGATTGAGTAAGAATCCAGATTGCGTGATAAGAGTGAAAGAACTTCCAAGGCTAACGCCATTGAAAAATTTGAGCAGCCTACAAAATTCGACAAGAGGAAGCCTTCGAGAAACTTTAATAAGTCCAAGGAGACGACTAAAGGAGGGTGTTTTGTGTGTGAAAAATTCGGTCACTATGCTAAGAAGTGTGGACACTAAAAACAAAACAACTTTGAGGGTAAAGTGAATTCCATCCAAAATGATAAAATTATAGCTACCGTAAGTGAAATAAATGCTATCAAGGGAAAGGTTCCCGGGTGGTGATATGATACTTGTGCTACCGTACATGTATCATATGATAAATCATTTTTCAAAATATATCACGAGGTGGATGGAAACCAAGAAATTCAAATGAGTAACGAAGTGCGGTCCAAAGTGATTGGAAGGGGAAATGTTGATATTAAATTCACTTCTGGGAAAACTGTTACTCTTACAAATGTACATGTTCCTGATATGAATAGGAACTTGGTTAGTGAAAATCTCTTAGGCAAATCGGGCATTAAAAGTGTATTCGAGTCCGATAAACTTGTATTATCTCTTAATGGAAAATTTGTTGAAAAAGGCTTTTCTTGTGAAGGAATGGTCAAATTATGTACCGTTGACAATAAAATAAATAAAACTGATTTTGCTTATGCTGTTGATTTATTTTCATTATGGTATGCTAGATTAGGTCATATTGGAATAAGAACTATGAAATGCATGAAAAATTGTGAATTGATTTCATATGATGAAAATAATGAAAGTAATTGCAAGATATATGTAGAATCTAAAATGATTAAAAAGCCTTATCATAGTGTGAAAAGGACTTCTAGTATTTTAGAACTAATCCATACCGATATATGTGAAATGGATGGCATGTTAACTAGGGGCGGAAATAGATATTTCATTACCTTTATTGATGACTTTTCTAGATATACATATGTTTATTTGATAAAGCATAAAAGTGAGACTTTTGATATGTTTAAAGTATACAAAAATGAGGTTTAAAATTATCTAGGAAAGAAAATCAAAACTTTAAGAAGTGATAGGGGTGGTGAATACTTTTCCAGCGATTTTAACTTGTTTTGTGTACGTGTCTTCACCAATGTTCTGCATCTAGGACTCCCGAGCAAAAATGGTTTGGCTGAAAGAAAAAATAGAACCTTAGTTGAAATGATTAATGCCATGCTCATTTATGCTAAGTTTCCATTTAACTTGTGGGATGAAACTTTATTAAGTGCATGTAGGGTATTTAATAGGATTCCTTCAAAACGTACTAAGGTTTCTCTTTATGAATTGTGGAAAGGAAGAAAATCAAACATTGGATACTTTAAAGTGTGGGGTGTCTTGCTTATTGCAAGAACACAAACCCCAATAGAACCAAACTGGGACCAAGAGGCAATAAATGTGTCTTTGTTGGATATGCGAATAATAACAAATCTTATAGATTGCTGAATTTGGAGCCCAATGTGATTATTAAATCCAACGATGTGGAGCTCTTTGAAGATTCATTATTTTCGGATAATGAATTGAGGGAAAATCTTGGAAATGTCCCTAGCTCAAGCGGAACACGTGATGAAATATCTTCTAAAGAAGTTGATGAATCTAGTGAACCATGAAGAAGCAAGAGAACTCGGGTTGAGAAGACTTTGGGACCAAATGAAATTAATTTTCAACTTATCTTCTTTTTTTAGTAGAGTTAAATGAGTTTAATGTTGTAAAAACAATTCCTTTTGTTTTACAAGTTGAAATCGACCCTAAAACTTATAAAGAAGCTATGGCTTCTCGTGATGGCGTCTTTTAGAAAGATGCAACTAAGAACGAAATGAATTCGATAATGTCTAACAACAAGTGGGAACTTATCAATTTACCACCCGGATCCAAACCTATTGGATGTAAGTGAGTATTTAGGAGAAAATATAACATGTTATGTCCCTTGAAAAATTTAGTTATTGTGCATTCTTGGTTGAGTATTTCTCTTGATGTACTTGGTTCATTCCTCTTGAAACAAAATCTGAACTTGTCTATACTTATTTGGCTTTTGAGCAATATGCCGCGATCCAATTTGATGCAAAAATTAAAATCTTTCATTCTGATGGAGGTGGAGAATTCATTAACTTAGGGCTCAACTCTCACTTCCAAGCACATGGCATCATTCATCAGATCTCTTGCCCTCACACCTCAGAATAAACGTATGGTTGAGCATCATCATAGAATAATTCGTGAACTAGGTATGGCAATGTTATTTCACCATGCTGCTCCTTTATACGTATGTGTTCATGCCTTTGCAACCGTTGCTTTTCTTATTAATTGTCTATTCTTGATTTAGATGCACCATATTTCAAATTTCAGGGAAAGCATCCAAATTATTCCTTTCTATGAGTATTTGGGTCTAAATATTTTCCACATACTTGGGAACTCGGAAAAATAAATTTGATCCAAAGATAGTACCATGTATTTCTCTGGGATATAGTGATCGGCACAAAAACAGTAAGTACTTACATCCATCGACAAAAAAATATTTATCTCACGGCATGTGGTTTTTGATGAGAACACTTTTCCTTGCAAGAAACCTCGAGGCCATGATTATGTCATTTCCCTCTAATCAATGGATGAGTATTTTTAACTTATGGACTCTTTCTCAAACTAATTCTTCCCCTCTGTCTATAGGTAATTGTGACTCACCTCTTCCATCACCTGGTCTGTCATATCCATGCACTCCACTTTATGCTGTCATCCAGCCCCTTCCATTCCAACAACTTCTTCTAAATCAACTTCAATTTTACCCTCTGCCTCTGCGGACTTGATGGCTACCCCACATTTGCCACCTCATTCATCTGATGAAACAGTCTCTGACACCTCTCACTTTCATTTAACAAACTCTCATTTGTCTTCTTAGCATCAGGATTCGGACACAACACCCATGTCGCCTCTTTCCGCTTCAAAGCACGTCGAGTCTCAACATAAAGTTGTTCCTAATGTTTCATTTGGGCAACCTGAGTTACTTGAACTATCGGAGCCTACGAATCAGCTGATGGTAACAAGCTCTCAACTTAGCATTTACAAACCCAATCCCAAATATGAACTCACTGTTGTCTGTCAAGATATCCCAAGAGTGCTCTACTCAGTTAAAATTGCTTTTATTCATGTTGGTTGGAGAGCAAAAATGCAAGAGGAAATGGATGCTCTTCATCGTAACAGCACCTTATACATTGAATTAAATTCTGGTAATTTATGAGTAAATAATAGACTTCCAGCTACAAAACCAATCACTCACAATGTTGAAAGCTTGGCGACGGCGTTGGGGCTCTCGACTGCATAGTGAGAGGGAGATATAGGGTTTGGTTTGCGCCACACCGTCGTCTGTTTTTTGCAAATTCAATTTGTCGTATAACAGGGGCTGGGTGCAATACAAAGCATAAATTAATGGGGCTAATTTAAAAAAAAAACCAAAAAACACAAAAAAAAATATTATAATGCGCTTACAGATAGAAAACTTTAAAGAAAATGCATACATATGAATCTAAGATGACACATTATTGTTTGCCTTTTATGAGATCCATTACTTGACACTTAATTGAAATTCTCCATTTACATAAAAGGAAAGGGAAAAATAAAAAAAAAAAAAAAAAAAAAAAAAAAAAAAAAAAAAAAAAAAAAAACCAACAACAACAACAAAAAATTTAAAAAGGCCCAAATCCAAACTTTAACCTTTTTTCCTGCTTCTCTAATTCGTCCCCGGCTTCAATCTTCCTCGCGGCACTGGAAGTTTGCTACAATGGCAGCATGCAACTTGTAAATTCCGAAAAAAGTCTGCACGAGCGATCGCACCAACTCGCCGGGTGCTGGCTCCGCCACTGACCAGAGCACCGTAAGAGCTACTTTTTACAATGAGAATTGCCACCAAGTGAAGGCAAGATGCTGAAAAACAAGATTTGGCTTGGATTGTCTATTTCATCTCTCTTTCATAAGAATTTTCTGGAATATTTATCTATATCTTAACCATACTGACCTTTTTATCATTTTATTTTGAAGAATGTTATATAACACCAGTAGTGATATAGTATCAGTTTCGGTGACTACACTTGATATGTTCAATTAAATAAATTGCGTTACATTACATTTAAGTAAATATATCATTTAATATCATGTAATTGTCACATTAGGGTGGTACTTGGCACTAAAGATGCAAAATAAAATTAATCTTTACTTTTTCTTGTACATGTATCACCTTGTCATTAGAGGCTTAACATATTGTGATTAAAGATAGCTCCATATATGACACGTGACAAACACGTGAAATACGGTGTATTTAAATTAAGAACTGTTGATGGTAGACGATTAATAAGAAAAACAGTAGTTGCAAAGGCATGAACCCATACTTATGAAGTAGCACCACAGTGAAATAACACTGCCATACCTAGTTCACGAATTATCCTCTGACGATGCTCAACCATACGTTTATTCTGAGGTGCGAGGGCAAGAGATTTGATGAATGATGCCACGTGCTTGGAAGTGAGAGCTGAGCCCTGAGTTAATGAATTCTCCCCCACCATCATAATGAAAGATTTTAATTTGTCTCAAATTGTCTCTCGGCATATTGCTCGAAAGCCAAATAAGTATCGACAAATTCATATTTTGTTTCAAGAGGAATGAACCAAGTACATCAAGAGAAATCATCAACCAAACATGCATAATAACTAAATTTTTCAAGGGACAGAACAGGCGATGGGCCCCATAAATCACAATAAATTTTATTGAAGACGGTTGAACTAGAATTATTAGAACAAGAAAAGGGTAATTTACTGAGTTTGCCTAATTGACAGGTATCGCATATTGATTGTAAATTATTGGATCCTTGAACATGAATTAACCCTTTTCTGTTTTAGATGCGACAGCATCTAAAATGTTTGGAAATTAACGCTTGCCGTCACCACCAAGCTTTTGGGCACATTGCTCTTAGAGGCCTTCTGTGACTTGGACATCAACTCCACCATCTTCGCCGCCTTCTCGTCCTTGGTCTTCTTTATTCTCTCCTTGATCTCACTGAAAACAAATACAAAGAGTCACGATGTGTTCGGATTAAAAGCGAGTACGATGTTCTATTCAAAGTAAGTCAGACCTTCAAAGTTGATTTTTCTTACTGATGAAACTTACCTTTCTGAAATGGAAGTCTTACTTACTTTACAAAAGAGTAACTTATAAGCACAGCCAAACATACTCTACATCTTGCTGAAAGCATACTCAAACACTTCTATATTCACGAGAATATCAAACATTTGAATCTTTAACATACCGTAAAGCAGCATGACGTGCAGCATCACGAACTTCTGGCTTTTCAGCTCTTTTCTTCTGTATGACTTCCAAGGTTGCACCAACAATTGATCTAGAGTAGGGCTTCTGAGTGGTTCGGCGCTTCTTCTTCACAGTTTCAGCAGCAATGTCCTATAAATCAGTCACGAGAACCATCAGTGACAGCTAGATTATGAAGGGAGCCAATTCATCTAAGAAACAAAAGAAAGATCATTAAAAGGAATTATCACTATATTTCACCTTCTTATGTTGTTTCCGGTATACAGCAGTCCATGTAAGCTTTGCAGGCCTCAGGCGATTGTGAAAATACCTCTTGCGTTTTGAGTTGGCAAAGTGGAAGACCTTCAACAGGGGAAAAAAAACGTCTTCATTCCCCAAAAATAACACAAAGTAATATTGGGTGAAAAGTAAAGTGAAAACTGAATCCGCCCCTTAACAAAGTGACATAAATAAAGTAGGAAAAACATAAATTGTATACAGTTCGCAACAAAAACAAAAGGGTGAAACTTTAGGAGTTAAGAAACTAGGCAAAAGGTTATAATGCGACACAAATATGATAATTCAAGCAACAAAGCTTCAACCACCTGGGAATCTGAGCGAATAAATTTGATACCCTTCCCTGGGTATATCTTGGCACCACTAAATCGGCAAAGCTCTGTCCTGACAACCCATAATTAACAGGTGAGACAAACAAAAGAAAATTAACTCTGAAATTGAACGTAAAATCTATACAGAGTAGAAGCAAAACTTATCCAAAGCAAGATAACATATATATATTTTGCATCACAAGCAAAATCAGGAGTAGGATCATCGCTTACATCGCATGAATTCTTTGAAACACATCAAATACAACAAAGCAACGTCTAAATAAGACGTTTGCGTCCTATATTTATCTATTTGATAGCATCTTCTGACTTTCAAAGTAAAACAAAAGAATTCCAGATTGAAATACCATATGCTACTGTCTAGCCACAGTAAAATATTAAATCCCCCAATAAATCTAAACTCATACTAAATTAACAACCCATCTTTTTAAAATTGTTATTGCTACCTTTTGAAATACCAATATGTCCTCCATCTAATAAATATTTTACACTCAACCTGTACGTGAATTTCACCCCCCACACACCACCACCATTTCTATCGTAAAGTAGAAAAAAGTTCAAAACAGATCCTTAAATGCAACAGATGACATATACACTAGAAATCAGAATTGAGCACTGGATTACGCATCTCATCACAGAGAAGGATGGCGGAACTCACTTGAGAACCATTGTCATGGATGCCGAGCTCGCAGCGCTTCGTTTACTCCCGGAAATGCAGAAACCCTGACTGCCCATTCAGCAATACACAGAGTAAAAGGCCACAATGCGTAGGTTTAGGCTTGGAGTTTGGACCTTCCATTCATGAGCCCATATATTATTGTTGGGCTCATATACTATCTACGAAGAGGAAATTAGGCCCTATACCCTTCTTTTTTAATTGTTTTGAATGCTATTTCTCCGACTCCCTCTTGCTGTGCAGCTGGTGGCCCCTACCCCATCGTCGAGCCTTCAAACTTGTAAGTGGATTGGTAGTGGGTCTTTTGAAGAGCTTTAGTTGAGTAATTTTGATTTCCATTTCCGAACCACAAATTATTTTCTTCTGGGCTCTTTTGGGTGTGATGTTGTTTGAAATGATTTTACTTCAATTAATTTCAGAAGCAAATATACAAACTCGAGAAGAAGTTGTCGTGAAGCTGTTTAGTATGAAAGTTTCGTAACTTTGTGAATTTAAGTTCTTATTTGGAATAAATTTTTTAATTGTTAATTTATTAGTGGTTAATCAACACCTTTATTTTTTATTGTTTACCTATTGGGAATTAGTATTTGTATTTACTAAGCTAGTTTATTTGTCAAGTTTTAGCTATTAACGAGACCAGCTGACAAATCACTCGAGTTCAAGCAATAGATGTACTTCTTTGACATCAATGTGTGCATTGATTTGTTTCAAGCTTCACTTTGTGTACCTTTTCTGAAATTTGTAGTGTCATTTTCTCTTTAAGAATCTGTTAAAATTTGTAGTGTCTTTTTCTCTTCAACCTTGTGAATGACTGGGATTTTCATTGGGAAAGATTTATGATTTATGTTTTATAAATTATGATTGTGAGTCTGCTGACTAAGATTTATGATTTATGAAAATTGGGAAATTAGTAAATATGTGATATACATGGACTATTATTTGTGATAAATGATAAATTTGGGAATTTGTGATAAATGATAAAATAGTCATGTTTGCCATTGTGATTCTAGAATGAGTTATGCCTTAATGGAATTGGTGCACAATGAATAAGTTGTTGCTTAGGATCCATTAACGCACAATTAGTAAGTTGTTCCTTAGAGGTGAGTTTGCTTTTTGAAATCGATAATAAAAAGTAATTATCTCGTATCTATAATGAATAAAAGTTTCGAGGCTATTGAGATTCCGTTCAAAATCTAAGTGTGGCCCATCAATTTTGCAATCAACCAAATTTGCTCATATTGTAAAAGAGTAATGCTATTTAACAACACTAATATTTGATAGAGCAATGTTATTTGTCCCCACTGGGGATGAATAGCATTTTTCTGATATTTAATACCAGTCTAGATAGTAGTACTAATGACATTAAATTATAGATTCAATTAAATGTAAATCACATAATTTTACATTTAATTGAATTAATCACATAATGTCACGTACTAGGTAACATTATTTATTGTAAAATTTTCAATCAAGTCATATTCAGATTACCGTAATAAAATTGTTGAATTGCAATCAAGAGATTTGTATTGCCATTGTTTATTGAGCTAATCATGGATTACCTAGGAGAAAATGTTCTGTCTGATGACTGAAAATTTATTACAAATAATCTTAAAACGTATAATCATAGATGACAACTTCACAAAATTCTCTCAGTTCATTTTTTTTTTTTTGGCTAATTACGTGTAGTTATTTTGCAAATAATGAGAAATATATTTTTTGTTCATTCATATTTTAAATTTATTAAATATCAATGATTTAAAATTCAACCCGATTATTGACTCAGAAAAGTTAAACAATCAAGAGCCAATAAGTTTAACAGGGTCTAATTGATGGTAAGAAATTATTAAATCAATACAAAATAGTACATAAGACAGTGTAAATATATTTTTTTCCTTATTTTTCAAATATACTTATTTTATACTATTTTTATTAATTCTTAATAATTATGAAATAAATAAGTACAAAAATACATATTAAGCGGAATAATTTTATTAATTTACTACTCCCTCCGTCCCAATTATATAGGTTGAGTTTCCTTTTTCGTTTGTCCCAAATATATAGGCTTGTTTTCAAATTTAGAATCTTTTATTTTGTTCCTTTACCAATATACCCTTATTCAATTTTATGCACTTAATATGCCAATTTCTTGAAATCATCCAATTATGCACATTTCCCACTTCTTAAAAATATGGAACAACTCTCATTTCTTTTTCGTCAAATTAAATCATTCAAATTATTTATTAATTCCAACAATAATTTATTACCACATACTAAAAATTAAATAGTGGTAAATTAGGAATGATCTTGACAAAAATTAGTTTTCCAATGATATTAATAAGCCTATATAATTGGGACGAAGAGAGTATTATATCATATTGGGGTATCATTTCCACATAGTAGATTCCACCATCTTCTTGTTGTGCAGTTCATATTTTCTAAAATTAATTGATGGTGGCTATCTCAAAACGAAAGAAATGAATGGGTGTGAAATATAGGAATGTTACCAAATCGGAATCGGTTCAGGTGTTTCGATTTTCGAAAATCCATTGACTTGCTATTTTTTATCATAATTTTTAATGGTACGTTTTTTTTGTCTAACAGGCCCAATTTCGAAGCCGATTTCCAATTTTGCCAATTGAACTGGTCGGGCCGTGTCGATTTTAATAATATTTTTAAACATTATTTTTGGTCATTGGCTAAACTTTCTAGAGTTTATTTTCTTTAACAATGGATTTTTCAATGAGAGACTAACATGAATTGATGGGCACTTTATTGTGACATCATTAACTATGTTAACTTTTTTAACGGGCTTAGTTGAAGTGGTGGATGGAGAATAATGAATATTTCAAGTTTATTTCTCAAGTTCAGTGATGTTAATGAGAAGTAACGACGAAAGTTCAATGACTATTATGATAATTAAGGCCAATAGTTTAAGAGAGATAAGAAATACGCATCATAGTTAATTAATATTTAATTCATTAAAATATTTTGTTTGTCTGTGCGACTTTGTCTTGTTAATTAATTTATTTGTAAATAATTTTGATTGGTGGGGCATTTGAGAGTAATTAGTCAATTTATTTAATCTGTTAAATTTTAGTTAATGATTTTCTCAGTTAACCACAATAAAATTATTTGAATCGACTGCAACATCACCTAACTCAGCTCTTGTTTGCTCCCCTTATTTTGAAAATACGTTTTTTTTCTCTCTCTCTCTCTCTTTCTTTTTTTAATCATACATTTTTTAATAAAATAATATTACATGCAAATCAAATTTTTTTTAAAAAAAAAAATTTAACCACACATTTTCCATTAATTTACTATTCTGAAATGCATTCTTAACCAAAAATGGGGCTCAATCGGACGCTCAATTAGTTAACAACTTCACATTGAATTTACTTAACCTAAAATATTAGAATTTTTTATGCTAGAATACCAACCAAAATTAAACCTATTCAAATCTTAATTTATCGTTTAAAGATATAATAAAGAGTATACTTAATTATTTTTGTGCTGGAATACCAACAAACAGCAAACCTACTTGGGTGCGATTAGTGGATCAGACTAGACTCGATAAGATAAATATAAACATACGGCGAATTGTATTAAGTAAATAGTATTATGTTGGATTAAGATGAATTTAGTTTTTACACTTTTCAGGCAACTAGATAACATAGTGCTGATAGTGATGAGTATAATCCGGGAAAGATAAGATATTATTTTGTTCGCGTTGAAATAATGACTTCCATTACCTTACCATAATATTATAATGCTTAATTTTTTTCCAGTCTAATAGGTTTGCAGAACCCATCCTTCAAGCGTTAATTTATCAATTATGGGATTAGCGAGGATTTATCCTTGATATCTCTAGGTTGGTGTTATCTAATAACATTTTCTATAGGTATTGACCCTAGTTGTTAGGTGGATTCATAGTCAAAATTTCCAACTATAATTTATAGAAAAAATTGCAACGAAGGCTCTTTTAGACAGTTTTCATCCAAATGTCTGTTAGTTGACTAAAAAATTTGACTTTGACCATATTTTTAATATTTTTGAGCCAGTAAAATAGTAACTTTTCATTTATTATATTAAAATAAGTTAGAATTTAAATTAAAAAAATAAGAAATGAGAAATAAAATAAAATAAAAACCTCGTGGTCTTCTTTCTCTCACCCCACCCCCACCCTGCAACACCCTTGCCGGCCGCCGGAGGCTGTGCCACCAGTTGGATCTGCTTCGGTACCATTTTTGGAGAATTGGGACCAATTCTTTTGGCCCCATAAATCACCATATCATCAACTGGACTTTGCTTTGGCGAACCCCTTTTTTTGTTGTTGTTAATTTTCGGATTCAGAGAATCTAATGACTCTCCTCTTCTCAAAATGGTGACTTGCCCCAGATCAAAAAAATGACCTGTTCAACTTGTTTCTAGATGTATAAACTGACAATTGCATATGAGCTGAGATAGAATTCCCACGTATGAGGAAATCAGTGCATGGGTGCTCATATTGATTATGGTCATCAAATTTTTCGATCTGATTTATTTTATATAGATGCTTGATTCTCTCAAGAATCGTAAAATAGGGATCTCAAAAGTAGCCGAACAATATTGTCATATGTTCTAACCCAAGGAGACGCCTCTTGAATATTCTTCACTTCCAGACATTGCCACATTACCTTCCGCTGAAACCTAAATAAATTCACTTGGCCCGTATCAGCACCAGCCCTCATTTGCCTCGGATTCTGCTCGAGCTCTACCGATACTTCAAGCTCTTAACACAATTGCTCCATGCTCGCAACAAACTTCTCGAACCTGAGATAGAGAGAGGAGGAGAGAGAAGGGGAGAGATGGAATGGGGGTGGGGCATATTAAATTACTATTTTTCCCTTTTAAAATTGTATAAAATGTGGTTAAAATTAATTTTTCAGGTCAAAATCAGTTTTTTAGGTCAACTAATGCAAAATTAGACAAACTCCATCCAAAAGGGCCCCTGCCACAATGTTTCGAAAGGTTTTGGGTGATGGTTGCAACAAATTAAAGGTTTGGG